GATTATTATTACTGAAAGACTCCTTTTCGTCTGAATCACGCATACATACATTTATAGCATCTCACCTCAGTCCCATTGGAGTCCATGGAAAGACTCCCAGTGACTTGATGGGGCTTTGAATTAGGTTGCAGTGGGGCTGATTCTGATATCACATCACTTTTACACCCCTGTAGCCCACTAGCTTTCAAGGAGTTACTCTGTATTTACCACACTCTAAATGAGATCAGATTCAGGTCCAGTGGCTTCAGTCCTGAAGTACTTTTGATAGATCTGTGGATCAGCATGACTGTTTTAAGTAATATTTCCAGATGACTGTGTATAACAAAGGAGTTGATGGTTTGCGGCGGATGAGGTGGAAAACAGAGTCACAATACACTTGGAACAGCATTTGAGGGAATCTTAGAAAAATAGTCCGTCTGAGGAGGTGAACACAGCTGTCCTGTTGAACGTGCTATGCTACATTTATAAGTAATTGAACAGAGTTTGGTTGTGTTACATCCATGTAAATCCAGAGTAACTCCATTAGCCTAAATGAAATTGCTCCATAGTTACACAGTGAAACTGAGAGCAGAATTTGGCCTAATATCTGCATTTTGGTTCTGCGATCTAATACCCATTGATGAATACTGTACATATTTATCAATAAATCAGATTAGAATGCAATCTGATTTCATTCAAAACAAACACATAAAAATCCACTTTCTTAATATTAGGTTTTGTACTTTTTTTTTTTTAAACACAACCTACATTTTGTCTCTTCTAATTGGAATTAGACGTACACATAGACACGTTCCCATAGGAGACAGAAAGGATGCATTGCAGACAACGTTTCATATTTGAGTAATTTTAAAAACAAGGAAATGGGGGATGGAATTCATCCTTTCTGTAACTTGAATGGAGTCAGTGGATGAATGTGTCCACATGACTCAATTCTGCAATGGGAGATTTGGGTGCAAAAGGACTAAAGACAATGGGGTGAAATTCTGGACCCACTAAAGGCAGTGGGAGTTTTGTCACTCACTTCAGTGGGGGGCGAGATTTCACCCTGCATGTTTTGGGTGTGCATGAAGCACAAGCTAGTGAGCTCTAGGTGCACATACTACCACAAAAAAACGAGCAGTAATTGTGTTAAGGATGCTAAGGGCAATTTAGAACAAGACAAACCAATACATACATCACTAAAAACATCAAAGACTTCTAAGGCAGTCATATGAGGTTACATACATTATTCTGAAGGCAGCCTTAACACACAAATCACACACACCACTACCTAAGCTCTCACTGACCACCCCCACCCCCCCAAACAACCTTAATGCTGGCCCCATAGGTCTGTTATGATATGTCTACATTGCAAACAAAAAAAGCCCTGCAGAAGCAAGTCTCAGGGGCAGGGGGATTCACAGGGCTTTGCACTCTGAGGCTACAAATAGCACTGGGGTTGTTTGGGCTTAGGCTGGAGACCAGGCTCTGAAACTCAGTGAGGGGGGGGGTAGGGCTCACACCCCAACTGTCTACACTGCTATTATCCCTGTAGCACAAGCCCAAGTTAGTTGACTGAGACTCAGTGTCATGAGGGGTGGTTGTTTTTTTTTGCAGTCTAGACATATCCTTAGTCTTTTATGGGCCCTTTAAATACTGCGTTTCAGAAGCAATCACTTGTGTTGCAATATGTTCAGGAACTTTGTATAAAATTTCCTTAATCAGAATGACCCTGATCAGTCCTCTAGACACAGTACATGAACCACAACATTGCCTGCTCAAATTCCCTCGCACTAGCCTGGCAGCACCTGCAGATCTTCTTCCTTTTCATGCACACAAGACGGCACAGTGACAGCTTGCTTCCCCCTGTCAGTGTCATCCTACTCTGGCTGTAAAAGCTTGAAAACACTTGAGTCATCAGGAACAAAAGCCTTGCTCTCTTCCTTTTGCTACAAAAGCTCAGATTTGACACTTTTTCTCTTTTTGATGACAGTTTAATTTTATATCTGTCTGTGTTGGCATAGAGATTACTGAAAGGTACCTGGTCAGCCAGTAAAACCAGTGTGTTTAGCCACCCAGGAAAATGTCATTCCCTCCCCTCACAGTGATTACTGTACCAGACCAGCCTTTGTATGCATTTCAAGCCACTCCAGACCCAGTAGACCTTCTGGCCGGAAGGCTGACTGTATGGTTAAAGCATTAGCCTTGTACTCAAGAGATTTAGGATCAATTCCTAGGTCTGACCCAGCCTTCCTGTGTGACCTCAGCTAAGACACTGATCTCTTCGTGCCTCAGGTAAGCACCCTGGCGGGCCGGGCCGGTTTGTTTACCTGCCGCATCCACAGGTTCGGCCGATTGCCGGTATTGTCAAAGGAGCCTACAGGAGTTAGGCATCTAAATCCTTGAATTTCAATAGGCATTGGGTAATTAATTCTCATAGTATCAGAGGGGTAGCCGTGTTAGTCTGAATCTGTAAAAAGCAACAGAGGGTCCTGTGGCACCTTTAAGCCTAACAGAAGTATTGGAGCATAAGCTTTCGTGGGTGAATGCCCACTTCATCAGATGCAAGACTTGCCACGGGACCCTCTGTTGCTAATTTCATAGGTTCCTTAAACCCCAGCCTTTGATGGAAAGCTCTTTGGGACTGCCTCTTGCTGGGTGTTTGTACACCACCAAGCACAATGGGGCCCTTGGGCGCTACTGGAATAAATAAAGGATCATAATAATAAGAAAGCTGCACTCTGAAGTTCAGGTATATCAGTGTGCCAAATGTACAGCTATATACACGTTGCCAGTCTCACACTGTAATTTATTTGTAGGGGACAGCCAGGGAAATTCCTCCTTTCTAAAGTTTCTGTTCCCTAGCGCTCAATGTTCAACAAACGCTAAGCCAAGGAATGCATTTTCCCTCTTGCTATATATTTTTCTGTAGCGTGGATTTGCTATATATAATATGACACCTTCTTTACCTTGGTTCACAGCTTCAAGACCTGGGCATGGCTTCCCTGCTCTAGGAATTTCATTTTGCAAAGAAATCACTGATCTCACATCACATCCTGTGTGTGAAGTACAAATATTGTAATTTCCTGTCCAATCCATTCAGTGTTGCTGGAATGTGCGTGTGCTGCAGCAGCTGTTTTCTATAGAGCAGCCACATCTGGCAGCCTCAAAAAAAAGTATGTTTCCCCAATAGGACTACAGCAACCAAACGGTTAATCATTTTCGTTAATGTGCAGAGGCCTATGACGCAGTGCTAATCAATTTGTCTGCTTTAACTAATTCTGGTTTTGGTTCAGTTTGCATCCCCTTTGAAGCCTTCATCTGCATACAATTTCAATACATCAGCAGACTTCCACATCAAAGCTGTATTTACTACCAGTTAATAATCCCCCTTGCACAGAGTTTGAGATGTGCATTTTTTTCCCAATGTTCATTAAATAAAAAGTTCCCTTGGAATTTGCAATCTAATTATATTTGCTGACCTGCAGTAGGCATAATCTCCAAGGCCTATCATTTATTTGTATAATAGTCTGGTTTTTGTCAGTACATATAGCTTTTCCAAACAAAACAATTCACTTAGGCACAGTTGCTGGCTGCACTTCTGGAATCAGGAGAACAGCACCCATTTGTGTATCAACTATCATTTAAGCATTCGCTCAACTAGGATAAAGGATATTGTTTTGGGCATGGGTTGGTTATAGTCATTAAAGTGCCAGAAATTGAGAAGTGTCACTTAGAAGAGGATAGCAGCAAACTTGCATTTGGTATGACATTTTTTTTCTTCCTTAACTGCCAACCTGATTTTTTGTAAGTAGCTCTTAAAAAAATAGCAGAAAGGAGAAATTTTTAGCTTCTAAAATGGCTGGAAGCTCAGTGAATTTAGCAGCCCTTATGATAAAACACCAGCAGTAGAATTCCACCTCCTCAGGAATCAGCAGTATTTCTCACTGCTAACTACCTTTATTATCTGAACGCCTGCCCACATGCGTAATTGAATGAGTCACATAAGCGAAAGACTTGGTGGAGTTTTAGGAGGAGACCACGCTGTGAAAAACCCTATCTTATCACAGAATGAAGATTATAGCCGAGGCAATAATTTCAATATCTGTGCAATGGGGGAAAAGAAATGTAAAGGCAAGCGGAATTTTCAACACAAAGGGGATTTAGAAAATTAGATTGTTGGGTTTGGTTTACTGTATTTGAGCACTGCAGCTGCAAAAGCAAAAAGGCTAACGCAGGATGTAGTATTGCAGTATTTTTACCTCCTAGTATGAAAAATTCACCATCAAGGGCCTGCTCCAGCATATTATTGTCAGAGAGAGTTTGCCATCAACTTCAGTATAAATAGAATTGGTCCCTAACCACTTAGCTGTGCTACAGTAAAAACCTGAGATCTGATCTAGCAACCCTTTTTTTATTATTATTATTATTATTACTAATTATTTTATTAAGGTGGGCTCAGATTTTTAAAAGATATGTAGGTGTCAAGGTTCCTTCCCCACTCTGAACTTTAGGGTACAGATGTGGGGGACCTGCATGAGAAGCTCTAAGCTCAATTAACAGCTTAGATCTGGTCTGACTGCCACCACTCCCAAGCACTAATTCCCTTCCCTGGGTAGCCTTGAGAGACTCTTCACCAATTCCCTGCTGAACACAGATCCAACCCCTTGGATCTTAAAACAAGAAGAAATTAACCATCCCCCCTCCTTTCTCCCACCAACTCCTGGTGGATCCAGATCCAACCCCCTTGGATCTTAAAACAAGGAAAAATCAATCAGGTTATTAAAAAAAAAAGGTTTTTAATTAAAGAGAAGAAAGGTAAAAGAAAACCCTCTGGGAGAGATTAGCATACTAGCTACTCTCACAGACAACAGATTTCAAACACAGAGGATGTTCCCCTGGGCAAAAACTTAGTTCCACAAAGAATACCCAAATACCCAATTTGATGATTCCTCTAATTGCACAAGACAGGTTACAAAGAAATAAACATAAACCTATTTATTTCCTTCACTAATACTCACTACTTAATAAGAGGCTGAATTCTGGAGCTTTCCCACTCCGGTCCAAAGTGAAACTCTGACTTAGACAAAGGGAACTTCCCTCCTTCCCTTTGAACCAGCTTGTCCTCCCATTGGTTCCTCCGGTCAGGTGTCAGCTAGGCTAGGTGAACTTCTTAACCCTTTACAGGTAAAAGAGGCATTAACCCGTAACTATCTGTTAGTGACAGTAGGCATCTAGTGGGATTTTCAACATCACCAAAATCCCATTAAAAAGAAGAACAGGAGTACTTGTGGCACCTTAGAGACTAACAAATTTATTAGAGCATAAGCTTTCGTGGACTACAGCCCACTTCTTCGGATGCATA